TCTTTCTTTTGCTCCATCAGCCAAGCTAATCAGATTATTTCTACGTCTCCCACTCTTGGTGCAAGGTTCTGTTGAGATAATTAATACAGGAGTTTTTAATGCAGAATAGCATTAGAGGAGGGGATGTGCTCTGCATGAAAATTGAGGCCCGCCATTCATTTATTTAAAGAGCCCACAGACACTCCAGATAGACTTAGCAAAATTTTTGCCAAATGTGGAGGACCAGCCTGTTCAAAACATTTGGCCATTTCACTTAAAAAGCCCAAAGCCTCCAATTTTCAGGCAACAGGATGCAGACAAGTACATGTGCAAAAGTTTAAAAAATAATGCAGACTTGTTAATGTGCCTTTGTATCCTTTATGACAGGGGTCAGCAACCTGTGGCTCTGGAGCCGCATGTGACTCTTTCATCCCTCTGCTGCAGCTCCCTGTCACCGGCCAGCTCCACAATTGATAGGGCTTTCGGTTAGGACAGGTAGATGGCTCTATGGTGGGGGGAACCGGACTTCCGGTCGGCTTCAGAATTGAATGGGGGGTTTCTCGTTAGGACCTTTGTGGCTCTTTGAGTGTTTAAGGTTGCCGACCCCTGTTTTATGAAATGCATCACACTGATGTAACTGAATGGTCTTCAGCTGGAGCCACAGTAAAGAAGTAAACAGCATCAAAGTGGCAGTTGTCATTCAAGTGATTGAAGCCCTTCCTCTTTTTGGTGCACGAGAGACATAAAACACATCTTAAAAAAGAGAGAGGAGTTTCAGGTGCCTAGTGGTACCCATTATTTTGATCCCCTTCCTCATGAAACCTCTGGATTTGAGGCCATGAATCTTGGTGGGTTTTTTTTTTCCGAATTACTTTTAGTCCTGTCAACAAAGAGCATTAGTCACCGTGTTGATAGATGCAGTAAAGGAAGAAGATTCTTCTCAGTCAGGATATTGATTGAATTAGCCAAGGGAAAGAAGATCTGTTGGTTCTCAGAACAGATATAAAGTTGATGCATTCCTTCTGGGGGGAAAATGTGGGGAAAGAAGCATAAATATGAACGGAAACTCAGTCCAATACTTTTAGGAATGACATGGCAGCTTACTTTATTCCATGAATCTTCCAGCTTGTATTTTCTGGATTGTTTTGCCCAAATGTCACATCTCGGGACTTTGGGGGAAGGAGAGAAAGGAAAGCCCATGGCAATCAGTGAGACCTCCTATTTTGGATGCAGTCTCTTCCTTTTTTGGGGAGGAGAAAGTGGGGGGGGGGATTTAAAGCTTTTTCTTCCACAGTGAATTCTGGGGCGAGTGAAGTGACGCCTCTCCAGAAGTAGCAGCTAAATATAGTAGGGCAAAGAGATATGGAAACATTCAGAAGGAAGATGAATGTATATAATAACATAAAATGTTCATAAATGTAATCCCAAATGGGTGATTGGACAGAAAGTTCTTTGCAAGAGCTAAGTTGAGAAACATCTTAAAATGTTTTAATCAATTCTTAAGCAAGAATTCATTAAAATTGATTTTTAAAATGATTTTTTTTNCCATTGCTTCTTGTTCTACCCTCAGGTGCTTTGGAGAATAGTTTGACTCCCTCTTCTTTGTGGCAGCCCCTGAGATATTGGAACACTGCTATCATATCACCCCTAGACCTTCTTTTCATCAAACTAGACATACCCAACAGCCTCAGAACTACATCTCCCAGCAGCCTCAGCTAGCATGGTCAATGGGGGAAGGATGCTGGTTATAGGTTCAGCAATATTGGGCAGATTTTATGTTCTGTAGAAGAAAGAAAGGCATGCCGTAAACATTGCTTCAGAGAGGAAATACAAGATTTGGATTTTGAATGATGCATTATGAAATTTCTCTCTTGCGAAATGAAATGCCTGTAGAGGCTGCTCTGATAGCATTAGAGAGAGAGAAAAATTCATTTGAGCAAGATAAAGGATGGAATTAAGCCAAGGCAATTTTAAAAAAAAGTTAACTGGCATGGAGTTGGGTAACCTATTGGGCTAAATTGCAAGGTATTAGGATATGCAAACTAGTGTTTTCAACCAGAACTCAATCTTCCACCAACCTCTATTGAACCTGCAAAATTTGATTCCTGAGACTCAGCTTAATGATCTCACCACAGGAGTAAACGAGAGTGTTGCTATTAGTAAAGCTTCACTGAGCTGCGCCTGTTAAAGGATCTGGCCCCCGCATGCATCCTTCTCTGATCCTGGAATTTTATTTCTCTACATTACTCTAAAAAAAGAGGATTTCCCCCCCTCCCAATCCAAAAGTATTATGTCGTTAATCTCTTTGATCTCTTCCTTTCTGACGTCCACCCACAGATGAAGCTTTGGTGTTTTTGCTTCACAGGTTATCAACAAACTAATTGAATTTGCAAAAGTCTGCTGCTCCCACCATATGTATAGACTTACATGGAGTTTCTGCATTTATTTAATTATACATATGGAGGGACGTGGTGGATCAGTGGCTAAGATGCTGACCTTGTCAATCAGAAGGTTAGCAGTTCGGCGGTTTGAATCCCTAGTGCTGCATAATGGAGTGAGCTCCCATTACTTGTCCCAACCTAGCAATTCGAAAGCATGTAAAAAAAATGCAAGTAGAAAAATAGGAATCACCTTTGATGGGAAGGTAACAGCATTCCGTGCACCTTCGGCATTTAGTCATGCTGGCCACATGACCACAGAGATGTTTTCGGACAGCGCTGGCTCTTCGGCTTTGAAATGGAGATGAGCNGTTTGTGTGTTCTCCAACACAACTCTCACAATGCTTCTCTGAACGCACTCGCTCTCCCAACAGGGAGCTTACCTACCAAACCCTATGCAAGTAATTAGAAGGGGGGGGGGGGTGGAGAAAGAAAGAAAAAGAAAAAAACTAGTCATACATTTCCACGCATATGTGGAGTGATTGTGGTGAGTTTAGTGGGTTTTGTCCCATTTTACAACTTTTCTTGCCACATTACTTAAGTGAATCACTGCAGCTGTTAAATTAGTGACACAGCTGTTCCTTGAATCTAATTTCCCCATTGACTTTGCTTGTCAGAAGGTTGCAAAGGCTGATCACATAACCCAAATAGACATAAATGTGAGACAGTGTCAAGCATCCAAATGTAAATCACATGATCCTGGAGATGCTCCAACGGGTCGTAAGTGCGAAAAATATTTGTATGTTTACTTTTTTCAGTGCCGCTGTAACATTAAATGGTCACTAAGTGAACTGTTCGTAAGTCGAAGACGACCCGTAATAACAGCCGTGCCTCAAACCCAAACGTGAGATCCCAAAACTTGTGTATGGAATATCCCAAAGAGTCTTTTGTTATTTGAAGATGGTTTCCATCCTATCCACTTAAAATAGGTGAAAATTTCAGCCCGGTACAAATAATAATACAATGTTGGCATTTATGCAATACTTTTCCTGGAAGGTTAATATGCTGCGTGACCACAACTGTGTAATAGTGCTTGCAGCTATTATCTTCATTAACAAGTTGCTCACCGTTTCGTAGTATAACTGTTCCCTTCCCCTCTGTTTTTATTATTATTATTATTATTATCTTTAAACTCCTGTGTGTTTAAGCACTCAATTGAAGCTTGCTCAGCAATTTAATCTCTTACTAAGGGTTATTTCTCAACTATTGCCACTAGCCATCATATTTTATCAGAAACAGGCAGTCTAGGGCCGTGATGGCGAGCCTATGGCACGCGTACCAGAGGTGGCATGCAGTCTTCTGACCGAGGATTCCTGGTAAAGCATAAATCACACGCTTAGTCCCCAAAACCCTCTTTTATTTAAACGGCTGTGAATTATGGTCATTCACAGCCCTTAATGATTCACAAACAGTCAGTGAAGAGTCCGACATATGTCTGCTACAGTCTTTAATGCTGATAAGCACCCACCTTTATCTCCCTTGAAACGCTGCCAGAGATCTAATTGCCAATTGGTTTTGCAAGGCCAAACAGAGCACAGAGTCAAACAGGAGCTTCTCAGAATTTGAACCGACCAGAAAGAACAAAGTTGCTTCCTGCAAAGGCTGAGGCCTGTTTGCTCCTCTTTTATGTCTTATGGGAGGGGACAATCACCTCCAAGCCTTACTCCTGAGTCGCTGCTTTTTTCTTAGCAGTTCTTGCTTTTTAGCAGCTCTGCGCATGCGCACACTGAGAACAGGCTCACACTGTTCTTCTGCCTTGCTGATGTCAGGCTCCATAGGCTCCGGAGGCAGCACATCACTACCAGATGGCCTTGGCCCCCTCTCTGCCTGCAACGCAGAGCTCTCGTCCGAGCCTTCCCCAGACTCCAGTAATGGCATATGCTGCTCCCAAATCTCCTCACTGTCCAACTCTGCTGCCAGCTCTGCAGGCCACCGGCAGACCACAACACGCAGATCCCACTCTGTGGTCACGGGCACTGTTGCCCCAGCTCAGCCAGCTGGTTGTCAGATTTCTGACGTGTGCACCTGCCAGTTAGTCGTCGGGTTTCTGAGGCGTTCTGGCGCTCACACGCATGCGCCTTCCAATTTGGGCACCCTGTGGCTAAAATGTTCGCCAAGGAGCCGAGGTGGCGTAGTGGTTAAATGCAGCACTGCAGGC